AGCGTTGCGTCTCCAGCCCGGTTTTTTGCAAAAACAATTAAATGTGTAGGTTATTGTCTAATAATATACTTAAATACTCTTTTGTTTTTGTTTATTTATATATATTACTCTATAATTGCATATGTTCATGAGTGAGGGGGAGATGGAGAAAGATGTGGATGCTTATAAAGTGGTTTGTGATGCTTTGGATTATGGATGGAGCTTAACCAATCCATGCGATGCTGATATGCTGAGTTTATTGATTCCTGATTCAGAGTTATTCATGTGAGGTTGTTATGTTGTTTATTTATACAATATGCATATACTGTTGCAATGCATGATATATTGTGAACTATGCAGATAATTTTCCTAATAATGCAACATCGTTGGTGTTATTGCATATGTGTGAACCTGAAAGTGAATAGGGTTGATATCCTTGACAGCTCATCGGCTGGTGTGGCAAAGATTGATAAGTATGATGAAATGCCAAACGTTGTGGTAAGTTCTAATTACTAGCACATGGACCATATTTTTTATGCGTAAAAACGGAACATATATATGAAATAAGAGAAATGCAAAGGTCGGATGAGAAGATACTGTTAGTCGGCTATTCTCGACCGTATAAAGATGTGTTTGAAGAACACAAACAAGACTTCTACACAACGGCTTGAATATAAAAATGAAGAACAAAACTTAGCCGGTGTAGAAGGAAAGTATACTCTCTCAAAAATACAATTCAAACTTATGAATATGAGAGTATATAACTAGAAACACAAGCTCAAAGTGTGTGTATAAAACTCAGGAATTTAAGGCTTTTAAAATAGCCAAAATATTGAAAATAATTAATAAAAGGATGAACACACTAAGAATAAAAAGAGAGGATGTTAAGAGCTTTGTTTCATGAAGAAATATGAAGGATTAGGCTTGTATTTATAGTGGAAGATGTTAATTAGCCGTTGGGAGGTGATTAGGGTTGATTTAATTCAAAATCTCAAATCAGGAACAGTAACCCAATGGTCACAATAGGCCGGTACCGTTCACACGGTAGCATGGTACCATGCGTACAGTAGGGGGGTACCGTGAGTGGCGGTACCTCGGTACCGTGTAACACCAAAAATCCATTCGGCTCTGGCGGTACCTGGTTAGGACGTGTTGGGCCAACCGTTTACGCCTACCGTCCGGTACCTAGGTACCGTTACACGGTATGGGGGTACCGTGTAGGCGGTATACCCTACCGTTTGGGGTACTGCTAGGGGTACTGTGCCACTGTCCTGATTTTTCCAAAATTCCATTATTCCTTCGTGTTTGAGTTTAAAACCTTTTAGATGTTTGAAATGTTTATGGGATGGTTTTAAAAATATTTTGTGAGTGCTTTTGAGCTTGTGAATATAGGTATATAAAGTCATATCCTGACATCGTTTTCTACCTATATTCTACCTGAATCAAAGTATGTGTTTCGACTTCATTCTTGAGTACCGAATCTTAATGGATTCTTGTTTTTCCTGAAACACTTAAACAAACGTTAAGCTCTTATATTGTTTGTTAACATCAAAACATGAGGCTTAGCAAACCAAGGCTAACAGATACGTATTTCAACAATCTAATGTTTTATCGTTCCTTTCATTGCAGCGAAACATGGTTGTTAAGTATTTTGAAAATAAAGGTATGGATGGCCGGGTGGAAAAGGTTAAGGAACAGAAGCCAAAACGATTACAACTGCCGTGGAGAGATTCGACTGCCGTATTTGATTATGGTGTGATCACAATGCGCCATATGGAGACGTACACGGGGCAGACATTGAAGCGGTGGGACTGTGGTTTGAAAAAGGGGGACAGAAAGGCGGTGAATGCACTTAGGACAAAGTACTGTGCTGCAATAGTCGAATCAGATGTGAACGAGGTTAGGGAGAAGATTAGGCAGTTGGTGAAGCACAATACTCAATGAAGACTGCATGTTTGGATGAGAAATTAATGTTTTAATGGGTGACTTGGCATGGGGATTATGATCTGTTTGTTTTATGTTTTTAGCACTTACATTTGGGTGACATTTTGATGTTTTGGTTTGGTGCACAACCCCTGAATGAGTTGATCACTGGCTTGTTCATTTTGCTAGATGGGGTTGAATTATTGCTCACAATGAGCGTAGTTAGTAGTATCTTTTGTTATTTAAAAAGAATTCTAGTTTAAAAATTATGGGACGTCAGTGATCTTTAATCAACATTTATTTTGCAAAAGTAATTAGGTAATACCTGAAATGTTTATGAAAGTCATTGATTAGCGTAATCAGAGATTAGATAATATTTCCGTATGAGTGTTGATTGTGGTATTAAATGTGAATGCACGGTGCTCATGCATTGGTGTACGTGCATGCGTATTTTAGTGCAGTAGTATTGATTTTGTATTCGAGTGTTTGAGGGAGAATTTGATTAAGGAGGAGGTACTTTGGACTGGAGTTTTGTTTGGTGGATAACTTCTTGCAGGGTAAATAGTGTTTTGGTGCGGTTTGGAGGTGTTTCAAGCAACGTAATAGTTCTTTATAGAGATGTGGTGTTCTCGAGAGTTGTGATTTGGGACAATGGTTTAACGAGTTCCTAGACACATTTGGTTAATAGACGAAAATGGGAAGAACGAATGGGTGATGCTTTTTAACATTCATAATCCCCCGTTGTTTTATGGGTATCCAAAGTTTATATAAAAGTAACTATTAAGGTGTTTCATTCGTGTTTCATAGAAGGTGAAGTGTGTGAGGCAGTGTTGGAACATAAGTCTACCTTTTGATGATGTGGAGATACGTACAGTGCATGAATTGATGAATAAATTATTTCATTGGTAATCAAAATTGGAGTAATATACAAGTAATGGGAAAAAATGAAAGGAGAGGGGGGGCCCTTATATGGGGCACATGAGTCCATCTTGCGCTAAAAGATTCAACAAAAAAATATTAAATGTTTTTGGAAAAAAACTAATATTATGTAAAAGTATTCATCGGACAATTTCTACTATCGTGATAGCCCAGCTCTTTGCAAGTTCGACACAAGCGTTTGTTCTTCTTGCTTTGTTCAATCTGGAGCTCTTTAGCACTCTTGATGCGCTTACCACTACCCTTGTTGTGCGCGGGTTGAGGTGGAAGCACTTTAATCACTGATGGAGCGGGAACACCATAATAATTTTCAAAGAGGTTAGGTTCTCCAGTACCTACATCCTGGGAGGAAACAACATATTGAATGAGCTCCTTTTGTTCAGTAATTACCTTGGAGAAAGCACATAATAACTCGGGGTTATTTTCAATGAGTGCAACACAGGAGTGAATGTTAGACCATAGGCGGTTGAGCATTATTTTGTTTTCGTCAATGGATGATTCCGAAGTAAAGTCCAGGCCAGAAACATCGATCAGTGGCTTCAGGAGTGGTGTTTTGCACCATCTATTGGTAATATAAAGTTCTGGGATCTGTTTAATTTTTAGGCCCTTGAAAAGCAAGAATATGTGACGGCACAACAGACCAATGCGCTGCCAATATTTGCATGTGCAGAAGTAAAAGCCTTCTAAGGTTGAATGTTCAACGTTAACAACCATACCTCGGGAATCCTGCACAACATATGTTAAGGTATGCTCCTTCTTGTCCACTTGCAGCACGCTGCACGAGAAGCATGATGCACATATCTCTGAATGTACTTCGTAGAAGATGCTCAGAGTGTAGATGGATGCTGCATGTTTTGTAACGCCCCAAAATATACCCTAAAATTTGTTGAATTAAATATTCAATTAAACAAAATTTGTTTTGATTAAAATAAATTATTGTTAGGCTTTGGGCCAAAATAAAATATGTTCTGATATCCAATATCATAATTCGGATAAATCTTATAGAGATAAATTCAACCTGATTTACTTATTGTGTGACCTTGATTGAGAACCAGAGTAAAGACCCAAAACAGGGATAAATGAAGATATTGTTGTGATAAGAACTTTGAAATAAATTCCTCAAATAAAGCATAAGAATAAATTAAGTGTGAGAACCTTTTATGATAAAAGTCAATTAAACCAATTTTGACTCTGTTAAAGTCAAACACCCAAGAATATGATGTCACAAAAAGTATTACAAATAATTATGAAAATTATATCATTGGACAGAGTTTAGCTTTCCGATCGCAACGGTGCAAATGGAATTAAATTCGGAAAACGTTGGACCAAAAAGTGTACCCCGACTGGGACCAAATGTAATGCCCCGAAACCCGGCTTAGTATTTTACTTAATTTATAAAAATTAATTAGTTATTGGGGTGTTTAAAAAAAATTAGTTATTGGGCCGGTCAATACGAGGATTATTTTCTAATCTTCCTTAAATAATGGGGGTTTATCCTATAATGTAGAGCTCGTTGTTCTAAACCCGATCGCGCACACGGATCATGAATCGGACCTATTGGGTCCAAGATACGATTGACGAATCAGGTAATTGGGGTTAAACTTATCCTAATTGGTTAGGTAGTGTAAATTGGACCCCAAATATATTTAATTATATATTAAAAGCCTAGGGATGTTACGGAACTTATCCGCTTAACGCACGACTCGTCTCCTCCCTCTGTTCCGGTCGACTTCTCCCCTGCGTAGCTGTTCGTCGTCCTTCCCACAGCACCAGCCGATGAATCCCTGGCCAGCTCCTGCTCGACCGGCGACCACCAGCTCTCTCTCTCTCTCTCTCTTTTCTTTGGCAGTGAGCGTGCGGATTCCGGCGAGTCCAGCACCGGCGGCGAAACAGCGGCGCCGGTTCTTCCTTCTCTAATCCGGTTTCAATTCTTCAATTTTCGAGGTAATTTGTGGTTTCTATACCTTCTGTTAGCGTTAATTCGTAGATTAAAACTTCCTTAGCGTATAATCTTTTGATTTGAATGAGAATTGTGAATGTTGTGTTGAAATTATGAAATTTGTGTTGGGGGGGCTGTTTTCCGTCATCTCCTC